ACGGGGATTTAAGAAGTGTCCCCCTTGTTGTATTTTCATTGTGTGTCTGAGAAATTAATAACTCACAGGTTTTCCTAGGTGTAGTGAGTAGAAATCCAGAATTAAACAAAATGAGTTTAAATTAAGAAAAGAAAAAATAGAAAAACAAGCTTTCAGCTTAAGCAGGAGATGGGAAGAGCTGTGGCTCTGACCTGCTTCTTGAGGGACAGGACTTTAAACTCACTGTGTTTCTTTTTTGCAATAGTAATGTTCAGAAGTTGAATTGTTGCTTAAAACGTTATTTCCCTGCTTATGTAATTGAAATATGCTCTAAAGGTACGATGTGACACCTAGGAGACAGTTTTTGTTCAAGAAGATAGCTGTTTTATTTTCCTTCTTATTATAGCAACATTTCTGTCTTTTTAACCTTTGTGTTTGCCAGAGCTCGCAGGACTCTGCTTCTGTAATGCTAAGAATGGTGAATCTGAAAAACTCAAAGTACATAATCTCTCTAGAAATAACAAATCATTGTGCAGTTTGGGAGGAGTTTGATCTCGGGAATGTCTCCTGAGCTGATTGTGATTATGTAGCTGAGAGCTGATGATGGCAGTGCCCCGGGGTATGAGGGGAAAGCTTTGCAATAACCAGCACCTTTCTGGAAAGGAACCAACGATTTGTGAATTACTCCCCCCAGATTAATACAAAACCTTACTCAGCTGTATTTTTGTCAAGCAAGAGGAGCCAGCAATTCGTGTCCCTGCTCTCCCCCATCATGAGAGAGAGCAGGGAGATAGGTTTGGTGCAGCACTGGTACCTGTGACTGAGCAGGTGCTGGGCCTCCTCTGTTACTGCATCGCAGCTGCTCTGGGCTCAGCACAGTCCAGCAAGTGAATACAACATCCCTATTACACTGGTCATCCCCACATCTCCAGGGTGCTGGGCCCTGAAGCAAACTGGGCGGAGAAATTATTTCAAAAGACAAAAAACTTACATATGACAAACTTGGGGATTATATTAAGGTTTTTCCTTAGAAAAGTAAACGAAGGCCCTTTATCATATGCACTTTTGCTGCTTCATTTATTTATGTATGAAAATAATGATTCCGCAGATGTCTTGGAGGAATGTAGGAGCTACATGATAGATTTTGCTTGCAGGATTTGAAATAAATCATGGTCTGGTGTTTTTGGGGAGGACCCAATGTTTACTGTCTCTGTCAGCAGTTACAACTTTAGGATGGAAAAACAGGAGAGATGAGGCTGAGGAACAGTTTTAAAATGTCTTGGTGCACTCGATTGAGATGATTAATTGATTGTTGTTTCTCTCTCCTCTCCCCAAGCTTTTTATTTTTCTTCTTCTCCCTTTCCGTGTCTGTCCTCCTCTCTTCCCCACCCACCCATCCACCCTCCCTTGTTTTTCTCTCCCCTTTCTGCTCCTCTACTTGGCCTCTCCTCCTTTGCTCTGCCTGCGGGGTGCAGAAGCAGGGTGACGATGGGAGGTGCTGCAGGAGCGGTCCCACAGTGTGGGAGCTCCCAGGGCCCCGCTCCCACCCCGCGGGGCCCCTTGGGCACTGCTAGGGCTCTCCCAGACAAGCTAGGACACCTGTAAGCTATGCTGGGTGCTACGTAGGAGTTGTGCTTCATTTCAGAAAGGGCAAACCTTTGAACTGGGACCATTTTAACTGGCAAAGAATTTATATGATAAGAAGTAAAACGAGCTTGTGTGAAAACCTCTGTTTATGTTACTAATACAAGATGCAAAGATCAGTTTGGATCTTGCGTTCTTCTAACCACTAACACCTATCCTGTGCTTGCAGCTTTCATTTAGTTTGATTTGCATGACTCAACATAAACTCAATACTCTTGTAACACACCTGGTGACGGAAAACCCCTTAAAGCAGGTTGAATGTGTAAAAAACAAAAATCAGCATTAGCATGTTTATCTAGTTTCCTGTTTTCTGGACACAGTGACTTGATAACTCCGTGAGTTATCTGTCTTGGAGCCTGTTCTCAGTTGTGGTGTTCTGCATTATTTGTAATCGTATGTCCTTATAAAGATGAGAACTTAAACAAGGTTAAGGAGTTGGATTTTCTCTTTCTGAATATTAAACTTCTGATGATTATTTACTCCTTTAAAACAACGCAAGAGGAATTAGATGAGCTTTCAAAACAGCCCCCGCAAGTGGCGAGTGCAAGCCGTTGTACCACAAACTGAATTATTAGACATATGGTTACAAAGTTTGTTCATGGACTTTACATGCACACTTCTGTGGGTGCAGTGTAAAAGCTTTGAATGTGAATCTGTGTTGTATTTATGTGTAGGTGGGAACTATGCAAAATGTATCTGCAAAGACGCATCTCTGGGGTGAAGAAAATAACTTGGGGCTTATTTCAGCAGAAGCCCACTGTTTGAGTAGCATCCTTGGGAATAGTCACTTTTACCTTCTCAGCAGCATTATGTCGAGTTAATGCATCCTAAATGTATTTGGCAGCAGTGCTGGTTTCATCACATTTGTCCCCAGCCTTTGAACACATTGTGACAGTGACTTTTCCAGTCCCTGCCAACCTGCTGCGCTCAGAGTCAGTCTCTCCTTTCCTACAGGTCAGCACAAAGCTGGCCCAAAGCTCTTTTTCATGTGTGTGATGCTGAGTGGGTGTGGAGATGAGGGGTGCCAAAACTGCCACAGTGCACAGCGTGGTACCAGTATTTCTCCCTGAACTCAAGTGCTCTCTGCTGAGGCCAGTGGAAAACACTCACCTTTTTCTGAGGGTCGTTGTGTAGGTTGTAGCCCAGGACTCGTTGGAAAAGCTTTGTTTCTGATATGTTTTGTTATGCAGGGGAAGGGTCTGCCTGTTAGGTTTTACTTCCAGCCCAAAAGTTCTCCATATACTATTGGCTGAATATTTTTACTTCTACAATGTGCACAGCTTCAAAAACACGTCAGAGTTTATGTAAGGAATAATAAAACAAATGGAAGCCTCCTCTTCTCAAACAAGATCACAAATCCAAAGAAAAGCCTAAAGAAAGAGAGACCTTCCAGAATGTGCTGAAGTTGAGTTGATATTGATGCCTCGGTGTAGTATGTGGAGAGGGTTCTCCTGAAGGCTCATTATATGAGGTATTCCAAACATTTTAGCTCGAAATTTAGGCTTTCCTGGTTACAGTGTGTTCCCTGAAGCTGGTTTTGAGAGAAGGGGCTGAAGGATCTTTTAGCCAGCCCTGCATTATGTGTGGCAGATCTCTATGCAATAGGGCCAGCCTATTTACAATAGTTGTTTAGATTAACAGCTTTACAGGATGTTTAGAACTACAAACCTGTTAAAAAATGAAGGTCTTCAGATTTAATTCAGAAGTGATTACCCTTCTTATTAATTGGCTTTTCTGCTTTTTCACATTTGGAGACTGAACTAGAATGAGATGTGAATGTGATGACTAGCTTCCCTTACCAAATATGAAAATGGTTACCACCACCATATGTTCTGCAATGCTTTTTTTTTTTTTTTTTTTTTTTTTTTTTTGAGTGCATCAGCGTACATGTGAAATCATAAATATTGTAACCATGCTAAGGCTTTTCCAGTGCTACACTTTTAAAATGTAATTTAGATTACAGTTGATGTTTCCATCTATTTTTGTCTCAGCTTTGCTTTGATCTGTTGTATTAGAGAGCAGGATGTTTTCATATGAAGTACTCTTCTGTTGTCTTGTGTTACCTACAAAATGTAAAAGAAAAGTAGCAGTGGGAAAAGTGGTTTGTTAAACTCCTAGGTATGTTGGGATGGGAGAATCGAAGGGTCTAGGATTCACAAAAACATCTAATCATTTCTTAAATCTCTAGGAGTTTTGCAGCACTTTTTAGGACACTTGGGAGTCCCCATCCTGTCAACTACTGGAAGTGTACTTTTAAAAGCTGCTTTTGCTTTTTTTTTTTTTTTTTTTTTTTTTTTTTTTTTTTTTTTTTTAAATCTTGGATGTTTAATTCTCTTGTCCAAACTAACCTACCAGCAGTGGATCACCTTCCCTCTCTCTTATCTTTGCTTTCTCTTCTTGGGAGCAGTCCTGCTCATTTTCACTTTTGTGTAGCATCCAGGTATGTTCCCTCTCCAGGTAGCAGCCATCTAAATGGACATTACTCTCCCTTTTGGACTCTCTTCAGCTTCTTCTCTACCCATTTCTGCTGGGCCTAGTTCCTCACCTTCTCAGTGTCAGGATGTTTTTGTCTGTCTGTCCCTGCTCCAACCCTCATAGTTTGTCCTGTTCATGCAGTGTTGTGTCTGAAGATCCAATTCTGTTCCCATTGGCCTCAGAACAGAATATTTGTGTTCTCCCCAATCTGTTGCTGATGCAAATATTGTCTCTCATCAGATAGCAGTTATCCTTGTGCTCTAAAAACATGAGTTGGTCATCCCTACCCCATAGAACATTTTTTGGTCTGCTTGTTCTCCCCTTTATTTTCTGTGTAGATGGATCTAAATTTTTTTTTTTTTGCCTTACTTTGGCCCTGTTCTCTCGGTTCACATGTGGTTTTTGTCCCTCAAGGTGTCCCACTCTTCCAAACCCCCATTCCTTCTTCCCCCTGGCCCAGCTCCTGATACATCCATCTGTTATCCTCTGTCCTAGTGCTTCCTGTTCACCCCACCTGTGATTTAGGCTCCTCTTCCTACTCATCGGCCTTGGCCGTTTCCGATAGCCTTCTTGCTTAGGTGAGAGTAAATGAATTGTCGCAGGTACCTCTTTTACGTTTCTGCATGAAGACAGCGGGTGAGATTTTGTCAGCTGAGTCTGGAGTTAGCTCACTGATTTCTCACTGTGCATACTTGTGTATCATCAGGATAATCAATAGTAACAGAAATTTTATTTGCTGTATTCTCAGTATCTAAAGAACTGAAAGCCCTCTATTGTCTGACTGTGTCTTATCTTTCCTGGAACTCGTTGATCCCATAACGTAATATAAGCACATTTATTTTAAATTACTGGAAAGAAACCGTTAATGCTTGTATTATGTTTTAACTTGCTTTCCTTTGGAGGCAGGGAATTGTCAAGTAAGTACGAACAACACAGAGCACAGAAAAAGCACAGATTTTCTGTACAATGCAGATTGCATAGCTCAAAAAGGGTGAATATATGTAACGTGCTACCATGCAGATTTGTTGTATTGACGCTGCCATCTTATGTACCAAAGTAAGTTAGGTGTAGTCAGACTTGTTAAAAGTGAAATGACTTCTTAAGGTGTTAAAAATGTGATGCTGCTTTACATTTGGTTTACTGAGATGATAACAAGGCAATGAATGCATACGTGTGTGTGTATATATACATGTACATGTATATATGAATGCACACAAGGTCTGTGTTTGTGTGTCCTGTGAATAGATATATATAAAAGTATCTGTGTGTATGTGTGTGTTTCCAAATGAAATCTCATGCTTACGATCTAGTGATTATCAGTCACGTCATAGTGGTAGTGTTCTCTGGCTTTCATAAAAAATTTTGGCTTGCTCTTGTCATAAACTCTAACTGATATTCCTAGGTAAAGAAAAGTAAAACCAATCCATTTTAAAGTTACACTAAAACAGAAAAAAGAGCAGGAGGCATACAAGAAAAAAATTACTATTTTCATCAGTGCTGATTCAAAGGCCTTCATCAGTCTGGGCTGAAATGGCTTTTGCTGTTCTAGCATCACATAATGATTTTATTTTGTAAGAGAATTAAGTTTTGTAATAATTTTTCTCCACCCCTTCTGTAGTGGTGACTGCACTGCTATTCGGTCCAATTACCACTGATGGTTATGTAAGGTGACTTGATTGACCACTTTCAGAGAAAATAAAGGTACTTGTTTCCCTGGGAACAAAAAAGAACAGGCTGTCCCTGTAAATTGGCCTAGCAACGAACAATTATGAGGCTAAATTGCAGGCTGAACTAGGAGAGGAAACAAGCATCCATTGTGTGCAATTCTCAGTAGTGCTTATGAGACTGTGAAGTTTCTATCAGTTTCCCTCCCTGTCAGGCACCTGAAAATAAACCAACACCTGAAACCACGTTCTCCTTCAGTATAAAGTGTGCAGGAAGCATGGATGTAGCTTCCTTTTTTCCCTCTGCCCTGGATGATCTTTAGTTCAGAGTATACCCGGGGATGCCAGGGTATGGTGTTTCTGAATTTGTAGACTGGTGCACTCTTTAATTTCTGTTTTAGTTCTTGCTGGCATGCTTGAATAGCATGTGTTGTGCCTCAAAGGAATGATTGATCAACTCTAAAAATGCTTGTGCATGAGTAAAGTGGTCAGAAGTACACCTAAAGTGTATTAAGTTTCTTACTTGGCTTTGTTTGCTGCTTACAAGGGGATCAAGGTAACTCTTTCACTCTTTTAATCTCACAAGATCACCTGCTAATGTGCTTTGCTAGTACTTAGTGAGTTTGCTTGTTTGCTTGAGACATGGGTTTGTTTACCTCCAGCCTTGTTCTGGTTTTTGTTGGTTTGTTGTTTTTTTTTTTTAGAGCCCAGATTTTCATGCTACTTACTCCTGCAATGTATTCCAGCTGTGTAGCAATGTCTTCTACCTGTGCGATTTCTCCACTGTTGCCGTTAATATCTTCCATAAAAAATACAATTCCAGAAAAAGTGCTCCCTCTAAGCAAAAGGGATTTAATTCTTCTGCAATTAATTTTTGCAAAACGAGAATTAGTTACAGCAGAAGGACAGGAACAATCTAATTTTTACCGGATGTATAATGTGTATCAAGTTTGAGTCCTTTTGAAATCTTAATCTGTGAAAATACTTTCGAAATTTGAGCACTTATCAAAAACCTAGAGGCCAGGTATTTTGTTTTTTTACTGAGAGAACCCCATAGTGGTTTAACCCCGTCTCCAGAATCTGCAATTGGAGTTTAAAGGCATGCAGTGGGGTGGTTTTTATATTAACAGCAGCCATCGAGCGATGTTTTGGAGCAAGCATTTAACTGTATCTGGTTTTATTCTTTGGTCATCACCACTTCTTACACGCCAACCTTCCCCCAAGACCTATTTTCTAAGAGATGATCAGACGTGATAAGGAATCTAGGCCAGATTGCAAAGGGCTAATTCCTCCAGTAATCCCGTGCAGTTTTTATGGCTCTGTTCTGCTGTTGACAGGGTTACAATCAAGCCCCATGAATTTCTGTTAACAGAGAGGGAGTATCATTATGCTTAAATTAACAAGTGGCCATCTAAAGCAAAGCCAGTGCAGCAGGCGTTTGATGTGGTAAGGTCATGAACTTCTAGAGGCTGAGCTCCCTCTGCTCCGCTTAGGTTTGTGCCTCTTCTTTTTTTCCTGGAAGGATCACGTCAAATAGGAGCTGTAAAGCTTATCTCGTTCTCAAGACCGTCTGCACGAATCAAATTTTATTTCAGTCTGTGTACTACATTTGTCTTTTTAGCTACTTTTAGCAACAGTAATTATATAAAAATGCTTTGCTGGCCTTAGTGTCTGTTAAATTCACACATACAGTTTAAAATGTAATAGTTTTATCTCTAATATGATTTTGAGAAGATTTTAATACAGTGTTGTCAAGGTTTTGTGATGGGGTTTGTCAGAAGAAGCAAGGTTGGGGAAAGGTCAGCTGCCAGCTGGAGAAAATCTTTCAGATCATTTCTGAGAGAAGCCGTTTACTATCATTTGGTATTCAAGGATTTTCCCTTGGATTTAAATCATTGTGATTTAAAAAAATAAAATTGCTGTACAGTGGTCTGTTCTACCAGTCATCCCCAAAATCTGTATCAGTGTTACTTCTGCTCTTTCCATCAAAATGCATATGATTTTAGTCAGTTTATAGTTTATTCTGTTAAAAAAAAAAAAAAGCCAGGCGTTAAACTTGTAGAGTTGCAATTAGCCATTTCCTGTTCACAGACAAAACATATGCTGTGGTTTTGTCTTTACTTTGCTTTAAAAATGTATTGATTGTCTTCTTTTTTAAACGTTTGTTTCAGGCCACCAGTTAGCAGAGCAGCTCCTCAGCCTGAAAAACTGCAAAAGAACAATATCACCAAAAAAAAGAAATTGGTTGAGGTCAGGCTTAATGCTTTTTCATTTGCTTTAGAAGTAATTAATATGTGCTGGCTGAAATCCGTCCGTGTTATGAGGGCCACTGAAGTCATGTAAAGGTAAAAGAGAAAGACATTTCTAGAATGTCTTAGCTCTGGTGGCAAACACCAGAAGATGTGATAGAGAGCAACCTCTGTCAGAAAGAATCTCAGATTGAGGGTGTTAAAGTTTACCCGTAACACTGGAGCTCTCCAAACCCTGAAGTTGTCCCTTGATTTGAAGGGCAGGTAGAGCCAAAGTGCATCCACAGCAGAACCCCACACTCAGTGCCAAACCCCCAAGGGACATCTAGTCAAAAACTGCGCTTGGACACCTGAAAAATCATTTTCGGGATTTTGAATGATTAAATTGGCTCATTCAGTTTAGAATGTACCTTTTTCCTCAAACTGCAGGCCCCCACCAAACAACTTTTTCCACATAATATGCTGAACAAGGAGTGTTCTGTGATCTGCGTGGACAATTTGTAACAACTGCTTGGTCTGTCAATGTAATTCCAATTGTTCCACGTAAACTGTAATTGTGTTTGGGACAGATACATTAAGTCTGTCTTCTGGGATATAAAAGCAACTTTAACAACAATCCATTAACCGTCACTGTTTTCTGGAGGAAATTTCCTTGGCAATTGCTTATTGTAAGCTGTAGTTACACTTCAGATGGATGTTTTAATTATAGGATTAGTTATAGCCTGCATCTGCTTCGTATAAGGGCTTTCAGCTCATCATTTGTTCTGTTAAAATTTGGCAGTTTAGAAGAATGATTTTTGAAGACTCTTTAAAGTAGAAGTAAGGATATTTGCAAATATCTGATACTCGCTATAGATATTAAGCTGTGATGAGAAGATTAATAAAATTGGACCTGTTTTTTAAATTGTTTATATTTTGAATGGAAATTTTCAGAAACAAAACATTTACAGATGGCTGAAATATTAAAGAAATAATAGTATAAAAGCAGTGCCTTAGTTGACCAACTTCAATTCACAGTTATTCATTCTTTTTGTTTTCCTTGACCAGGAGCTGGCTTTAGACCATGTTTTTGGATACAGAGGATTTGATTGTCGCAACAACCTCCATTACCTAAATGATGGTGCTGATATCATTTTCCACACAGCTGCAGCAGGCGTAGTTCAGAATCTTTCCACTGGTAATTCAACTTGAAACAATACTTGGGATCAGAAATGCTGTACAAGTGAAATATTTCTGGTTAAAGGTCTTAACTTTTCAACATTGCTGTAACTTTCTCACATTCTGCATCCTGATAAGCAATGCACAGAACTCTAGGTGGTTATTGTATGAGATTGAGAGTTTCTCCTGTTCAGATGATGCTGTAGAGCCACCCTGTTCCTTTCAGCAGGTATGAGATTCTGCCAGGAAGTGTCATTAGAAACCTGTTGTGTTTCTGCAGTGGTTCCTCACTAAAGTCCCTGCTGAAAACACAGGAATGGCTTTCTTGGAGGAGAGAGCCTGGATTAGGAAATGACTAGTGCCCCCCCAGATGCTCCGAGCAATAACATCTGTTGGCTCCTGTAGAGTGGCACTCCAGGAAAGCGTGCGTTGTGATGCGGTACAGGCTGAGCAAGTTCCTCTTTGGAAGGGGTAGAAATATTCCCTGCCTTGTCAGGGATGAAGAGGAGGAAGAACACCAGAACTGTCTCTGGCCCTAAGTTGTAGCACCAACATCTTGGTATTCTTCATATATCCCAAGAAATAAAGATGGGAATTAAAGGGATTTTGGCTTTGGTTTGTTGCCCCTTGGTGCCGTGGTGAACCCAGATGGTCAAGGTGGGGCGGAGGCAGAAAAGCTCTTTCATCTGGTGACCTTTGGGGACTCCGGTCCTAGCGCAGCCTCTAACCTGTGGAGCTGGGCAGCAGCACCATCCCATCTGTTCTTTTGGGGCCCTTTCCCTTGGGAGGGTATTGCAAAGAGTCAACTTCACAGGGCTTTGCTCTGCACCTCGCTTCCCACTGACTGCTTTGATTAGTTGGGGAAACTGGGCCCTGCGTTTGCCAGTTTTGCTTTTTCTTGCAGTTACAGGTGGTTGCAGGATGATTCCTGGCTCCTTGGGCATAGCTAGTTTACCAAATCTTGCTTTCCTATATATATATATGTGTGTGTGTGTGTGTGTGAATGGATATGTCTGTAGTTTGGTGACGGTGCCTGGGAATGAGATGGCAGCAGCTGTTGCCACAGTTCTTGCCTTGCCTCTCTCCATCCCCTGCAGAATGCAGCAAGAGTGTCAGAACCTGCTGCTTGAATGTTCTTGGCCTCAGCGGTGGTTCTTTGGTCGATATCGTTGTGAATAAAACCATGTTTGAATTCCATTAGGTAGTCAGAGTTTCTACCTGGAGCATACTGATGACATTCTCTGCCTAACTGTGAATCAACACCCAAAGTATAAAAATATTGTGGCTACCAGCCAGATCGGTAGGTGACTCTCCATATAACAAAGTTTTACTCAGAAATTATCAGGGGCACTGATTTATTTTGGGCTTTTCTGTGTAGGAATTTTAACTCCGGCATCAGTGTTACTGTCCTCAAACTTTTTCTTTGATTTTAGAGGTAATCCAGCTTCAGGATTTTCTTAAGATTTCGATTTCATCTCTGATTGTGAATCGTTAGATTTTCGAGATAACTGTAGTATAATCATGTTTCAGACAGCAAGCTTGGATCAAGTGCAGTAAATAATCTCATTAATCTCTAATAGTAACATTTATAGAATTTCCTCTTTCCTTCCTGTATCCGAGGTGCTGTGCAGCAGTAAAATGCTTAGCGGTGAAAATGCAATAATGAAAATTTCCTGTGCAGAAGTACAAAAGCTATACAGGATAAGAAAGAAATAGAGCCAAATCTCAGCAGAAGTTACAATGCATGTAAGGGGCCAGTTGTGAGGCCATGTATATTTATGTGTTTATTATTGACATGGAGAATCCTGTCAGATTCCCTAGTACCTTTTGCAGGAGTAAACACTGTATGGGGACTGCAGGATCATTTGTCCCAAGCCTTGAGAAGGATCTGTTACTCTGCACTTAAACCAGCTTAATGCTGGATTAATTATCCTAATGAAAAAGTATGGTGTCCTTCTAATTCATGCCATTCTGGAAGGAGGTTCAAGTCTGTAAATTCTGCAATAAGTAACCAAACAGAGGGCAGAGAAATGGTGGTAGGTGAAGACCTTGACAAACCGTCTTTGCCACCTGTACCTAGTGCTGTGATTTCAGTTCAAATGTCGAATAAACACAAAGGCCTGGACATATTGTCCGAGCTCTGGTTCGAGATGCTGATTTCTGAGACACGGAAAAGGTGGCTGTTACAGGTCCTTTTTGTCTAGTCTGTCAGTAAGAGCCCATGAAATCAGTGGTTCTGATTTTGGTTGATATTCTGTAATAACTACAGATTCATTTCACTTTTAAATTTAATAATTTTGTAAAACTGCATGCCTTTAGCATTTCTTTTAAATACCATTTTTAAAACTCAGAAGTACTAAATATTGTTGCGATATTTGTGTATAAAAAAACAGTATACCCAAAGAAGTTCAACAATATTCCTGCTTATTTGTTCTGTTGATTCAATCCATGTCCATTTTCAAGTTTTTAATTTTTATTTTTTCCTTCTGGTGCTGATGCTGGCACTTCAGCATTAGAAACATGACTTATTTCACCTATTGTTTTCCCTTGGTGCTTCCTCATTTGCCATTGCTCTCACAATGCAGGTGATATGACAGAATTTCCAGGTAAGGCTGATTCGTTTATGAATTTTAGTCAGCAGAGTGATGTAAAACTTTCACGTTACCTCGTATCTGTGTGAATCGCGGATACAAGTGACAACACCTACAGACATTTTCTTTTGCATGAGGCTCTTCATGAATGTTATGTTGTTCTTTTAGAATTTGTCTTAACTCATGAAATAGAATGATTTCCCTCTGTGTTTTGCAAGCTATTATGATTTTTTTTTTTTCTCGAGTAGTGTTGATCTTGAAACAAAAACCCACAACTTTTGAGTGTCTGTTCAGGTTAAATGTTCCTGGAAAATGCTTATTTTGCACTGAAGCTTTCCAGATGCTGAATTAATTATCTTTCAATGCATCTTTTTGCACGTAGGTACAACTCCCACAATTCATATATGGGATGCTATGAGTAAGCAAACTATTTCAATGCTACGTTGCTTCCATACCAAAGGGGTCAACTATGTTAACTTCAGTGCAACTGGCAAACTTCTGGTTTCAGTGGGAGTTGACCCAGAACATACTATCACAGTCTGGAGGTGGCAAGAAGGTAACCCTGGAAAAATCATTTTCCTTCAGCCTAACAGTTGAACTGTGTACAATTATTTGCTTTTCCTTTCAACTCTTTGGACTAGATTTGTGTTCTTACTCAGAGTATTGTAGTAAGTCACAAAATCAGTTTGAGGCATAAAAAATAAAAATAAGGAAATAAGTTCTAAACTTCTGTTATATGTAGAATTAAGGAAAGAATGTTGTTTAATATAAAATCCCATGAAATTAGGGAAAGTATTTTCTTCCTAAAATACTTGAACTTGAAATTCCACACCATGGATAGGCTTTTGGGAAGTCACTTCCAGAAAGGAATTCTCATCGTCAGAAATGGTGTCTCAGGTCATCTGAGGTGTCCCTGTGCTCTTCACCAGGTGGTAACTCACTGATGATATTCACAGCTTGTGCAGTGTTATTTTACTGACCCAAGAGACAAGTCGTGCTGTGATGACCAAAATCTGCATTTCCTAAACTGTCGTACGCAGTGGAATAATGAGGGACCTGTCAGGTTGCATGAATTAAAATGTTTGATATGCTAGATAACATTGGGATTTGCTTAGCTTTCAGCATGTGCAACACAGTTCTCTAATCCAATGCCAGGTCAGTTTATTTTATAGAATCTTATCAGAACTTAATTTTTCAAGTGAATTTAACTTTATTTTTCTTCTTTTGTGATTAAAACAGGAGCTAAAGTTGCTAGCAGGGGAGGACACCTGGAGAGGATTTTCGTTGTGGAGTTCCGCCCAGATTCAGACACTCAGTTTGTGTCTGTTGGGGTGAAACACATGAAGTTCTGGACATTAGCTGGCAGTGCTTTGCTTTACAAGAAAGGAGTCATCGGTTCCATGGAAGATGCCAAAATGCAAACCATGCTTTCTGTGGCCTTCGGAGCAGTGAGTTCAAATTACTTGCTACAGAATTTTGTGATATATTCTTATTAAAACTGCAAGTGTCAGTTTGCTCTGTCGAAATCCTGTACAGCATGGACAGTGCAAGCCCATGGAGCTTTCGCTTATTAGTTAAGCTTTGAATTTAAAGCCTGTATGCCTTTAGATCCACGTGTAGGTCTTCAAAGCAGGGTTGGGTTTCTGTGTTGGTGAGCATTTTTTATCAATGTCTGCATACCTCCAGCATCAGCTGCCATGGCTTTTATTTTTTTACTTTGCTAGTTATTTAGCACTTCACTGGTTAACTTAGAAAAATGTGATATGATTATTTTGTGTATAGGCTCTGGAACCTTTTTTCCTGCTGCCAGTGGTTGGTATGACATATGGTAGTGATCCAACTAACGGTGACAGTACATAATACTCGTTAGTACTGTGCTTGCTTATTGATCATTATGATCACTGACAGCAAAGAAGCACTGTTACCATGATACTAAGGTCTGAAATAGGTTCTGCTTCATCCAGAAACCTTATCGAAATTACCTCTGGAAAGGTAAAGCATCACCCAGTTCAGAGAAACCCCTCACTCCTAATTATCTGCTCTGCACAATAGTACTAATGGGTGAAATGTGAGCATATAAGGCTCCCAAACCCTCATCCTTGTGTCCAAACAAGGAACTTTGTTGTCAAAAATTGCTTAATACTGAACGCTTCTTTCTGTTCTGATGGCATTGTCCCAGTATAAAATAAGAGTAATGTCATGGACATTAAAGACCCCAAAAGTGGTTTTAAAAAAGGAGCCGAATGTAATATTCAAACAAACAAAATGGTTGTCTGTACTTTCCAAGCAGAAACAGTCCAACAGACAGTTTCTTTTCTAAAATAATAAACCTAACATCCTGTAAGAGGCACCTTTAAAAGCAGCAGATGAAGTCGACTTGATTATCATCTGTCATTCATTGAGGATGTTTTTGGAGAAATTATGCCATTGCTGTGGTGCAGGCAACTGGTTGAGTTAGTTCTCCCTTTAAGTTTACACACTTTATTTTCAACGTCTTGAAGATACCACTTGCTGGGGACCTGTGCTGAGATTCTACTGACACATACTTGGGAGAAGAAAGAATGGTCTCTCAGAATTCAGCAGTGGCAACCTGTGTCCCCCTCGCCAGTAGGAGGTGATGTAGCTCATAGGTAGCAAAAGGAGGGTGTGCAGCTGAAAGACCTCGAGATGAGACACATGAGGTGAACATGCCCTCCACGTGGTCAAAAACATCTCAGACTGTTAGAGTGCAGTCATTGAAGTCATTAAACTCATTTTCTTAATGCAGATGGTTTTAATTTTTCCATTCGTTGCATAACTGTTGCCTTTTCACATGCCTTTTCTCAGGAAATTCAGTAGCTAAAACACTTAGTGGCAAGCTGAATGAAAATGCCAAGGTGTGTATGATATCAGAGATTGTTGCTATTTGTTGCAGAACAACCTTACATTTACTGGTGCCATAAATGGAGATGTCTACGTCTGGAAGGATCATTTCCTGATTAGACTTGTGGCCAAAGCTCACACTGGGCCAGTGTTCACCATGTACACAACTCTTCGAGATGGACTCATTGTCACCGGGGGGAAGGAGAGACCGTAAGAGACATCATCTTCCTCAGGCGCACGGCTTCTCTCTCTCTCATGTGCTGCTGTTTTTTATTTATCTGATACCCTGGACACACACAATGCTTTCCCAAGATAAAAGGTGTCTGCACTGTAGCAGTTTCAATGTAGATTTTTATATAATGTGCCCAGGTGTCCCAATAAGTAAAGGACTGCTAAGCAGGAGCCTCAGGGTGTCCTGAACCTTCAACTAGCCACTGATGTGAACACCTGTGTAAGCTCCTGCCAGCCTGGCCTAAGTGGGCTTGTCTTAATTTTTCAGTTGTGTCCAACTACAGACCATCTCTCCCAGAGGAGACTCTCTGATTAGTAAATTCTTTGGTTTAGTAGAAGGAACATATTTGCCAAGCTTATCTTTGTGTATGACAGAGGTTTGAGATTAAGTAACAAGATAACAGTTTGTTTTTTACAAATTAGACATGATACTATTTAAAACATGAAGTTGTGATAGCAGGTAAACTGCATCATTTACTTTCCATTCCCACTAGTGAGGTGTGTGTCTGTACGCTAGAAGGTGGTTCAGTGTGACGTGATGTACATACGGGATTTGTTGTAGCCTGTGCAGAGGGAGACACCTGGGTAACACAACACACTTCTTTCCAGCACAAAAGAAGGGGGAGCTGTGAAGCTGTGGGATCAAGAGATGAAGCGGTGCCGAGCGTTTCAGCTGGAGACAGGGCAGCTGATCGAGTGCGTTCGCTCCGTCTGCAGGGGAAAGGTGAGCCGGAGAGGCTTTGTGTGAAGCTGTGGGAGGAGGCTCTGCCGGCCTAAGTGACATTTCCTTGCTTCTCTTCCTGAGCTCCGTGCACACTGCATGAGGATCCCATTGCTGGTGCTTAGTGCCTTCCTCCCTTCAGCAGTCAGCAAGGAGATGGAGAGACCTCTGAAGGACAGTGCCAAGTGTAGGAATAGATTTCACCAGGGTAGGACCTGCCTGCTGCCTTGCTTTTCAAGTGACAGAAGGAACTTAGGCACCTCCTTTAGAAAGTTTGCTTCCCCTGAAGTGTAGGCACAGCTTAGGCACTTCAGTTAGACTGAACGGATTGTAGCGTTTTGGGGTTTTTTTAACTAACAAATAACAAAAGTTGCCATTGAGAATTACTAATTGAGTTTAAGTTTTGGTAAGGTGGAAGGCAATCGAAATAACAGAGTTATTTGGCATGCTCAAGTCACTCCTGCACGTCTGAAATTGTGAATGTGAAAGCAGTGTGTGATGGTGCAGGAGCGTTAGTTGGTACGATGAGGATCTGCCAACCTGCCACTCTATGAAATGCTGCCAGGAATTTGACACACTCTTTGATAATACCGCCATTGAGGAATGTTGTTTTATATTTCTAACCAAGCAGCCATTAATCAATTCATAACTGTATCTACTTATGTTTTTTCCAAGTATTTGCTAAGAAAGGTCTTGCAGTTGAGACGATGGCTTTAGAGTAGATGCAAGGTGCTCTTCAACAGTTTAACTGAGCCTAAAACCCTGGTTGGATTTTTATATTATTGCCCAAATATTATATTGAGTTACCTCGAAGGTATGTGAATCATTCTTTGCCAACCTGTATGTAAACACTTTGATCTGAAGTAAAAGCCTTAATGTCAAGAGAGAAATACACCATAGTCACTCTGCAGTGACACTAGAACATGATACCAGGTCTGGAGATGTGACCGTGTTAGTGGTTTACTCTCCTGTTATTAAGATGCTGCATGAGCAGTTGGTATAAATGAGGTTGAGTAGCACAGGTAGTTCAGCAATACCCCAGTGCTACTGCTGCTGATATATGCTCTCTGTTATACTGACAACCTATCTCTCAAACCTTTTTTTTTTTTTTTTTGCTACAAACAGGGCAAAATTTTAGTGGGAACAAAAGATGGTGAAATCCTTGAAGTAGGAGAAAAAAATGCTGCTTCAAACTTGTTGATCGACTGCCACATGGAAGGGGAGATCTGGGGCTTGGCAACCCACCCCTCTAAAGACATATTTATCTCTGCAAGTAATGATGGAACAGCAAGAATCTGGGACCTGTCTGACAAAGTGAGTATCACTGTATTTAAAAGTACGTCATTAGAAATGATCATTTTACCTAAGGATGCGTTTTTCCAGCTGTGTGATGTGCCAGGTACATCTGCACCTTTGAGCAGCCATGTCAAGGGAGCAGTGTTTTGCTTCTGCTTTGGTACAGTTTTCCTATAGTTTTCCTGCTGTGTGGCAATATGAAAAGGTAAGTGCTTGGTGAGGTAGCTTGCTGCTTTTTCCTAAGGCAAGCAGTTTGCAGAGAAATGCTGTTATTTAAAGGCACTCATGACTATGGAGTGCCTTTTGGGGTGTATTGCTTATTTTGATCTAAAAAAGTAAAGGCTGGTGTGGATAAGTGAGGCATTTTCATTCCCTTCTGACAGGCGGGGTGACACCAATTGTCCTGTCACTGACTAATAGAAGACCCCTACAAATAAACCTGCCTTACTGCCCCGCACAGCTCCCTCATTTTTAGAATGTTTCTTTAGAATTTCTCCTGTTGTTTATGTAGTTCAGGAACTTCCCCCCCCCCCAATGAAACTGCTTAACAATGACTACTTTAAAAAATAAGAAATAAAACATTATTAAAATATTACAAAGGGGTTTGTGTTTATGCTAGGCTACATTAACAGAACCTTTTCAAAAGGCAGTTACTTGAGCTAACAGGGATAATCTTTAATATGGAAAATGAATATATTACAAATGCAGTCAGAGAAGTGAAAATGCGAGAGCATTCAGGTATGAGTTCATCTAGCACCTTCTCTCATCAGCAGTTGTAGAAGCCATCAAAATGCAACCAAAACAGGGAATCGATTTTTCAGGCCTTTCTGCTAAATAAAATTCTTTCTGGTGTAAAGCTTGAGGTCACCCTGCAAGAAGAGAGATGCAAACCTGAAACCCCCGTCGGAATGACATCTATATTTTGAAGTCTGTTCAGCAGCATATGCCTGGTGGGATGTGATTTGTGATGTGAGGTTTCAGATTTATATTTAGAGGAAACTATAGACAATTTGTTTTTAATAAGTGACTTTTATAGTTGGCATTTGGAAGGTTTCCCTGTGCCTGGTAGTTGTCTCCAGGGGAGGTATGAGCCTGTTGCTTTTGTTCGTACAGAAACTGCTGAACAAAGTGAATCTGGGTCATCCTGCACGCTGTGCCGCGTATAGTCCTGATGGGGAGATGGTTGCCATTGGCATGAAGAATGGAGAATTTGTTATTTTACTTGTAAACAGCCTTAAGGTTTGGGGCAAAAAGCGAGACAGAAAGTCTGCAATTCAGGATATCAGGTACGTCAGGAATCCCTACTGATGCTCTCCAAATAGGCAGCCCTTAAGAAAAAGTCCATCAGGTTCCATGTTGAGTTCCAGCATTTCTGTAACTTTATATTTGTTGAAACCTACATGAAATCATGAAACGTATTTACTGGCTGACTTGTGGTTTTATGCGTTTGTAAAGGTTATATTTTCAGATTCCTAAAGGAGCACACACCTTTTTTCCCCCTGTGATTAAGTCAGTTACGTCTCTTAACTCAAGCTAGTAATTTGTACGCTGTCATTATGGGGATCGATATTATCAGGACATTTTAAAATTGCGATTTGTTGCTTTTTCTCAGAGGATTAGTGTTGCTCTGCACATCGTGCTGTGAGCTTTCTGCAAGTGCATAACTAACAGCAGTTAACTGCACACACGATCCCTAATCTTCCTCCTCTGTTAAGCATTGAGGATTGGATTCAATCTTGCTGTTGATAGAAAGTTGTTCTTGTTTTCCAGGAAAAGAAAGTTGTTGTGTTAACATGAGAAACTAATGTTAGAAACAGTGAATTATGTCCCTGTTTCATTTTTGTTTGTCTAGGATCAGCCCCGATAACAGGTTTTTGGCAGTGGGTTCCCAAGAACATACTGTAGATTTTTATGATCTCACTCAAGGTACCACCCTAAACCGAATAGGCTACTGCAAAGACATTGCAAGTTTTGTCATCCAGATGGATTTCTCTGCAGACAGCAGGTACATCCAGGTATGTCTGAGGTAGTCTCGTGTGTTTGCTCTGAGTCACCTGTTCTCCGGTGTAAGAAGATGGAGATAAGAAAGGGTGAGGGAGACTTTCCAAAGTTGTTGTGAGTGTCAAGGCACCTCATAACCTTTCCAGGGAGGGCAGATAAGTCAGGCTGCCTTCAGGCTGTTGAGAGAGGTCTGTTCAAAGTTCTCTCTTTCTTTTTAAAAACTCAGGTCTTCCCCCTGGGTTCTGCAGCTCCGACCCTTCTGTTGTGGGCAGGATGGAGATAAGTGTCCGTGGGTAGGAGGGGGCAGAGCTCTTGGGGGTGGCTCCTGGGCATCATTGGGTTGTTTGATGCCACGTGAAGTGAAGTCCAGTCCTGTCCAGGGTTGCAGGTGCCTCTCTCTGTCCAGAGTCTTTTGGGTTTCCTGGGTCGGCATGAGGCGACTTTGGTGGTGCAGGTGCTCAGCCACTGCTGCATTTTTCCTGTTTCTTTTGGACTGTCTTGTTATATTCAGTATTTTTTTTTTAAATTGAAGCTACGAATTGTTTTCTTTTTGTCACTCCCCTATTTCTGGGGGGAAGGGGAGGGGAAGGGCTGGCCACGTGTCTCCTGGCCAAGTACAAAGCCCAGCAGGAGCTCCCTGACAAGGGCAGGCAAAGGGCTCTCTCATTTCAAGGGAAAAGGTCCAACACGGAGGAAGCTTTGTGGATTATAATCTCAAGAGAGAAACAGTCCCTCCTGCCTTTCCCAAGGATGGGATTCATATGGTAGGTGAATTATTATGTCAGGCTTGTGTGTGAAATTTTTCTGGTTTAGTAGAATTGTGTTGAGATAGAGCAAGGAGTGTATGAAAGAAGGGGAATGCATCAGGTGTGCAGTGTGTGAACACCTCCTTCAGCTACCAGTGTGCAATGTGGCTGGTACTGCAGAGCCCACATGGGGAATTGTGGCTGCTCAGGAAAGAAGGAAAAGTTATCATAGGTGTTTCTTGATAAAAGTTGTTGAGAGTAATTTTTAATGCAGGCTATGTTACAAATAAAGAAAAGGATATCTTTATGGCAAAGGTACTAGCTTTTTCCTTGGGTACTTTCAGGTATCCACGGGTGCATATAAGCGTCAGGTTCATGAGGTGCCCGTGGGAAAGCAAATAACAGATCCTGCATTGATAGAGAAGATCACGTGGGCCACATGGACAAGGTAAAAATCCCAAATCACTCAGTTCTAAGGACTCTGCAGAGATGGTGGGGGTGGGGCAGATGCATCTGACAGTGAATATGTGGGTAAGCAGAAATGATGCTGATGAAGGAACTTGAGCTACAGGAAGGAGACATCTGTTAAGAAATATTGTAGATGTAAGCAAGTATCCTCTTAGTGAGGAAGTCTGCGTATGAGCTGAGTGCTGTGCGAGGGTACAAGTGTGTCCATAAGGGACGGAGAGGTGGGCAAGTGCTGTGGGTGCTCCCACAGCGGGACACCGTGGGGTGACAGGTAAAGGTGGTTGGGAGTCACCTGGGAAGGATGCGTTACTGTGGGGGGCTCTGATGAGATCGCATTAACTGCCGTGGTTTAGAGGAAGAGTTTTCTTTTAAGGGTGGGAATTCTTCCCTGCTGTGCTTTGTCTCAATGCTGCTATTGACACTTGGTTTTGGAGCAGCATTCTGGGAGAGGAAGTGATGGGGATTTGGCCGCGCAATGCAGACAAGGCTGATGTGAACTGTGCCTGTGTGACCCATGCGGGCCTCAACGTCGCCACTGGAGATGACTTCGGGCTGGTGAAGCTGTTTGATTTCCCGTGCACAGAGAAATTTGTAAGTGGGAACTTGAATGTAACGTAACATCAGAGGTTGGGCCATGGTGCAAGTGGTACTGAGGAGGTGATGGGGTGGGATGCTGCAGAGCCACCAGGACTGAGCTGTGGGCTTGTGTCTGCAGAGGAACCCCTGTCAGTGTGCAGGGGAATTCCTGCTCAACCTTAGTTCTTCTGCCCGCAGGCCAAGCATAAGCGGTACTTTGGGCACTCAGCACATGTCACCAACATCCGCTTCTCCCATGACGACAAGTACGTCATCAGCACTGGGGGGGATGACTGCAGGTAAGGAAAGGAAAAAGGAGGGGGGGGCTGTTGCAAACACAATTGTTGAAAAAACCCATCTCTAAGAACTGTGTCTCCAGTCACCTCTGACCATGGGCTGCATTTATCTAGATGCTTGCTCTGCAGGTTTTGAACTCTGCAAAATATTCTCATCACCCACAAGTGTTCCCAATACCCTCCTGATGACCACTTCTTTATTTACACTTTAACTATACACAGCACACACAGAGTCCACTGTTAAATAATATTTGTTTCATTTATCTGCCAAGTAACTGTCAAGTTACTTCTGTTTAGAACCCTGTGTGTATTTAATGTACTTGGTGTCTTGTGCTGTGATATCATATGGTATGATGAGTTACCATCAGTTGCTCTAGGGAAATAACCCTGCCCCCATTTGTTTTCCTGGTAGTGTCTTTGTCTGGCGATGTCTTTGAATGGCGATGACTTCCTGCTGTTCCTGCCACCCCCAAGCAGCTGCTGTGCCCAGGGATGCCTCCAGCCCATGATGCTGTGCAGGGACACCCTCCTAGTGATTTACTGACTTGTGAATGTGATGGTGCATTTGAAAGACCCTTAAGTAAGAAGGTGCAGCTGCAAAGGGGATCCTTCTGTGCCCTGGGTAGGCTGTGGGGAGGAACACTCCACTCACAGAGCTGATTTTGCCTCCATGCAGTGTTAGTCAAACCCTGCTGAAACGGGAGTGCACTGAGGACATGCTGGGCCCTTTACATTTCCGTTATTTCTAAATTGATGGTGTCAACATTTCTTCAAGGAATCGGCTGTCTTTCCAACACCTGCGTAACACTCACATGTGGTGCACTGAGAAAAACTAGAAGCTTTTAGTCAACATTGCTGGGGTTCACACTTCTGCTTTCAGTAATTTAAGGAGCAAACTATCATTTTTTAAGTCAGTCCATTTTCTTTTTAAATATATATATTTGGCAAACTTTTCTATCCATAAAGTGCCTTTCAGTAATTTTTCTAGTAGTATGGGCTACAGTCTTGCCTCCCACCAATTGCTTTCAACACACGGTGCTATAACTTTCACACAGAGGAGGGCTAACCAACACCATTAACACCTTTTCCAGCTGCCTACTTACATTCTCCCTGATTTCTGCTTTGCTTTCCACCATCTTCATAAGTGAATTCCCAAATGATCCTGACAGCAAGAACCTCCTGGTAAGCTGTTCACAACTGCTTGGCAATGGTAGCATGAGTGCAGCCACAATTGGAATCTCAACTCAGACAGCGAGTAGAGTGAGAGAGTTGGTTGCAGAAATTCTGACACAGAATTTCAGGGAAAAAGCGCTTTCTGGGTAACAACTTCCCGCAGACAGTGGACAGTTCCTGTATTGATCAGAACTGGTTTGAAAGTCCCAGGAAATGTCCCTGTCCTCAAGAAGAGCCTCAGTTTTGCCAATAGGGGGAGTGACTCCTCTCACAGCCAAGGCAGGGGCAGGTGCCTCCGCACTGCAGTGGAGACCCACCACTGCATGTTCACAAACAGGCAAGATCAAACCTTCAGCATTCTATAAAAACACTTTCTCAGAACCAAAAAATGCAACGACATGAGAATGGGAGAAAGCAAACAAAGTTCAGCTTTTGCCAATGAAACTGTTTAGAAAGGAACAGAAAACGTGGGCAATATCAAAAGATTTTTTGGTATTTCAGGCATGCAAAAACATATATGTTGTGAAATCACCTTTTTTTAAACACCACTGTTCCTTTATCAAACGAAAGCCAAAATAAAACATTTACACTTACATTTACTCTTGGGGGAAAAAAAAAGATAGTGATTTAGTCCCAGTTCAGGCAGCTGTCACTTGGAACTGGGGCAACTTCCTGCCAATCCACTTCTGAGGCCACTGCGTAAGCCGGCAGCTGCTGGAGGTGACAACTGTGCAGTCAGAGGAGTGGATCAAGGTACGTTTCACACATAAAAGTGCTTCAGCAACCTCACAGAATCACCTTTTTATTTAAAATTGAATTTATTAATGCCTTATATGACTGTACAGAAGATCAGTTTGTCAGATACACAATACGAGTCCCTATGCAGTCTTTTTTTTTTTGCAGAAACCTTCTCGCTCCAATCCCATAATGTTGTGAGGTGGTGATGTCAGTGAGCACCTTCTTGGCCTATGTTGTAACAATCTTTGCCTTCTCTCACACTGATTGTATCCCAACTCTGACCACGTGTGTGGCAGAGTAAGTTAATCAATGGTGATGTGAAAAATATCTTGAAGCAATAGTGTCTGTCAGGAAAACACTGAAAAGTTGTATGTTTCTATGGTTTGGCTGTGTGTAGAACATGTTCACAGGTAACCATGTATTATACTGTAAACTAAAATATTAGTGCATGAATTTATTTTTCAATGGTCAAGATGATATTAATTTAAGATCTGTATCTGAAATAAATTTGGATACCTGTTTTGTGTTTCCACCTCTTCAATCACATTCAACCACAAGTTGATCCAAAGCAAATACCCTGGGACTTGGTTTCCCATTTCCTTCAAGCTAGGGTCTGCTATTATCTATTATAGTCTCAAGACTAAAACAAACCAAGGCTCTGCACTTTGTTTAGCAGAACCTACTAACACTTTGCTCTTCCACAACTCTCAACACCCAACTCACAACAGCCAAGTGCCCTGGGCCAGGATCTCTCTGCACCAGCCCCACGCCCAACAGCACCTGCACAAACTGCCTCCCTCCACACAGGGCAACAGCAAAGGACCTGTGGGAAACCCACCTACTCACACAGCTAACGCCTCACACACTATTGCCACCACCAGCTACAAAGGGTAGTTAATCACAATCAGCTTAAACTAAATCAACACAAATATATTAAACTTGCTTCAAGAAAGCAAAATGCCAATATTATTTTATGTCTATAAGCTTTATTGATACTTGGGGTTTTTGTTCGTGGGGTGTTTTTTTTTCTTTTTTTTTGGTTTTTTTGTGGGTTTTTTTTTTTTACATTTCACAATGCATTCCACAGACTTAGTTCAATACAGCTTAAACTGCAAGTATATAAATTTCCACTTATAATTTCTTGCATAACAAGGCTTTAAGTTTCCAAACACCATTTGCAGCATTAGATATTCGGTCCACAGATTTATCAGAGTTTGAGAGACTGTAGGATTATTTGCTCAAAATCAACTACTGTAAGGTTTGTGCAGCCAAGTGTATGTTGTAATTTTCTTTTAATATATGTGGCAGTTCCTTTGTTCGTTTCTCTTTTGTTTTCCTTAAACAGATGCTAGTGTTTACGGAGACATTTTAGTTTCTCAAGCTTGTGTGCTATGGAGCTAGTCCAGGACTCAGTCAATTCTCTGAAGTATGAAGCACTGTGGAGCAGCTGAAAGATCTAAGCTTTGTGAAACACATATATATATATATATTGGCAATTGATAAAACAATAAAATCACGATACAGCTATACTCATACCAAAAAGGCAAGATTTTTCAAAACTTGCTAAAATGGTATATTCTTCTAAAACATCTCATTTTAGAAAATCTGCTTCAATCTACACAGACCATACACAGTGCACAAACTGGGAAGTGTTCTCCTCCGCGCCACCTGCACTACCTCTTCGGGAACGCAGCAGCGACTACCTCTGACGAAGCAAAATGTACAGCTTTCTCAAATCGTTTGTATTAGCCAGTGCTGCACACGGGATAAAGAAAGATGATTAGTTTTAGATCCATACATAGCAGCTTACAATACTTAAGATGATGAAACACATGGCAGTCAAAACAGTTATTTTTCCTCAAACACTGCGTTGCTAAAAAATAAAGATCTGTGAAATTGCACTGCAATGTCAAGGGCTTTGCTATTCCCTGACCCTCCCCATGTAAATCCAAATGAGTTTTTTTTTCCCCCCTTAAAGATGAACTTCCTATCCATAAGTTGCTTCAGGCTTTTTATTCAGTTTTGCGCTTCAACCCAGGGATCTTTGCTTGGATCCTACGAGAGGAAGAGGAGAGGAAAAAGAAAGAACAGCATTTCAGTAACAAACACCAAAAGCAAACATGGTCCTAAAAACAGCACCGCATGAAGATAATTATCACAGCAACACAGATTTACTACACTCACAGACCAACAAAACTCCTCTTCGTTCAGCCCTTGGCAGCAAGGGCCGAGGGCCTCAAGTTTCACCAACTGTTTCCAATATCCAGATTTCTATTGGAAGTTCTCTAGGATTAACTTAACAGTATCTGTGAGGAAGGAGCTGATTCCATAACCATTCCAAATGTAAACAAAGGAGTTTTTCCTCCCAGGACTAGAGCACTGAGTGCATTTCTTATATCCAGGAGTACCACACACACGAAGAACTGGAAATGTTATTTATAAAGTGAAATTAAAAAAAAAAACACCACCCAACTCACTTGGCCATGGCGTCTTTGACGTTCTTGTTCACGAGTCCCAAATAATGGTCAATTTGGGCCTGCAAGTGAAGATGGGAGCTGTTAAGAGGCCCGCAGAGGGGCTGGGGGCTGGTAACCAGCTCGGCCTGCCCAGAGCAGCCTCCAGCCCCTTGAGAGGCTCCAGGAGCCTCCTGAAGCCACACGACCTGTCCCTCATCCCCCCCCTTAGGGTGGCAGGATTCCCAGTGACCACAGTGTCCTCCCACCAGCTGGGAGAGGAGCCTGGGAGGCTCCACCCTCTGCTCCATACCCATTGTCCCCCCTTGCCACATCCCGGGCTGGCTGCCAGCCCCAGCACCCTTGTTTTTGAAAGAGGAGAGGGCACGGCTAAGCCGGAGCTGGCTTCCCCCCTCCTGTGCTGTGACCTGCTCAAGACACAGCCTGCTCCATCTCCACTATCATTTCATCAGAAGTGTTTTATTTTGGCTCCTTTTTTACATTGCCCTCTCCCCAGGAGAAGCAGCAGACTGTGCCAAGCATCTCCCACCTCCTGTCTTTGCCAGGGCTACTTTAGGACACAAACCCTGACTATCAGCTCCAAAGAGGGTTCTTCATAAATTCTTTTACAAGTACCTACATCAGGATTAACACACAGTGCCTTCTGCTGCTGTAGGCCTGGCCACATCCAGCCCAGCGGAGAGAAGGCTTCGGGGTTCATGAGGCCTTGTTTGTAACTGCTGAGGAAACCTCCCTACGCTTCCACCCAAATGGGGGAGAGACTTCCACAGGAACTCCATTTCCTCAGCCCTGGCAACTGACTCCCTGTTGAAGGCCTGTCTTTTAAAGGCTTTAAAGATTTTAGAATATCAAAATGAATTTTGGTTTTATTCACTCCTGGTTTGGCTTCAAAGCGAGTTTTAGAAAGCATTTAACGAATCATATACACTCACCTGATGTCTCTCATAAATAACAGGAACACTGAAGAGCGAAATCAAAGCTGGAAAAGAGCACATCAAAGGTGTAAATATTGACAAAAGGGATAGTGTTCAGGTAAAAGAAAGACTGGTTTCCACACCTTGACATTCCCTTCAAAAAGGGTACAAGGAAAAGAAATAACTAAGCCACATAGAAGAACTGTTGGCCAGTAATTTAAATAATCCGTACTGGGGAGAAGCTGGGCTGTTCTCCAAGTCTCATTAACAGTACAGTAAGTCTGGTCACAGTTCACTGTTTCACTGAGGGTTATACAAATCCTTTGAAAAGGATGCTTAGCCTTCTGGCAGTATCACACAGTTTCGGACACCTGAGGCCAGCCTGCTCTGGGATACAAGAAATACAACTATCTGCAGCAGGGCACGGCCAAAGCCTCCCCCAAACCCACTACACTGTGATGATATCCAGGGGAGGCCAACCCTGGCAGGGACAAGCACAGCAGAACGTGCTTTGCAATGATACGGTGTCTGGGAAATTCGTTCATTCAACAACGCAATTTCAAAGTTATCTGTTCAGCAGTGTTAGCAACGTCCCAGAAGGAGGACATAAAACTTTTTAACATCTTGTTACACACTCAAGAACACTGGAATAGCCTCCCAGTACAGAGCAGAGTTCAGTGCTTTTCCAGAGTTATTTGGCATGCCATGTACAAATGCAATTTAAAACACTTACCCAGAATCAGTAATGTCAGACCATTAAACAAGGCACCAACATAAGTGAATACCCACATCAACACTGCAAACTAAAAAGGAAAAAAACAAAAACAAACAGCACATCAGCTCATGGTTTTGTTTTACTGGCACAGACTAGTTCAAGCAGTGAGAGAACTTCTGTAAACACACAGAGGAAACTATACCACCCCGAATTGCCCTTCACCCCTGTACAGATCCTGTAGTTGAGTGACAAGGTGGCCGAGGGGTTCAGTGCCTCTATCACCAGGCTGAGCTCAGCCCAAGCCAGCAGTGACCCGATGCTGCCAGTCGGTGCCTGCTCAGCGCCCTCTGTGCTCATACAGCACTTACATCTTCAAGAATGATGGGCAAATGCAGTTCCTACCTCCCTCCCTTCAAGGGGTGGAACAAGACAGGCAACTG